GACGCCTTAAAGTATTGTAAGTAAACATTGACAACTAGCTGAATTGGACCCGAGTGGCCACAGGAGGAAGAATCGGACAGGAATTTCTGGAACAGTGTGTTGAGTCAAGGTGTTTACATTCCCTGATCATATCTCACAGAGTGCATAGTTGCCATGCTGACCTTGTAGTTTCCCAAATGAGATTATTAAAAATAGTCCAGCATCGTTCTGTACTCTATAGGGTACTTGCCTGTTTCTATATCTTTGTAATGTAATGGGCTAATGGTATATAACCTGCGGTTCTGCTTTAGGTCAGCGTTGCTCAGAAAGCTGCCGATGTTTGGCTGGAATCCAGGCATGAACAGTGATTGTTTGCATGCTTAATCTATGTTGAATCTTCCAAGTGATTGGTTGCTTTAGATGGGGCAGGATTTGGCCATAATATTCCCTTCCTTTATACTTCTCCCATTTCTGTTTGCAATGTCCACAGGGGTGTGTGTGTGTGTGTGTGTGTGTGTGTGTGTGTGAGAGAGAGAGAGAGAGAGAGAGAGAGAGAGAGAGAGAGAGAGAGAGAGAGAGAGAGAAACCTGTAATGATTAACCCTTTAAATCACCAGGCATTGAGTGCCACTCCAAAGGATTAACTTTTTCTGCATGTCCTTCTTTCTCGCTTGTTTTTCTGGGAAGCTCCCACCATCAATACTGTTTCCTCAGATAAGTCACAGACTTGACACAGGGAACTTATAGCCGCAGGAGGAGGCAACTTTTGACTCCAATCCAAGAAGCTTAGTGGGTCCCTACAAACTAGTGTGTGCGCGTGTGAGTGCATGTGTCCACATACATCTGCACTCCCCGGGCAGCAAATTATAATTTTTAAAGAACAGCTGTCATCTCTGTCCCGCAGCAGCTCCTCCTCTGACCTGCTGTTGCCTCAACGACAGTCCCAATATTGCAGGATATACAGCCTCCTGCTACATAACTAAGCTCAATTTCATACTGAATAAACTGAAGGGAATAGTAATAATAAAGAAATGTAGTAAAATATATTATAGCATTAAGTAGAGTGTTACTCTGTAGGCATTTTTATCTTGCCACTGTAAAAAAGATTTCCTTAACCTTTCACTTGTTGTAAAACAATTATAAACACAATCAGTTACATTCCTCTCCTATTAAGACACATGATTGTCCCATCTAAATCAATCTGAATCCATCTGTTTTCCTGGATTGATACATTTCACCCCAGCATCAACCCCTGGGAACGAAATGTACCTCTCTGGGAATGTAACTACCTCCATTCTGAGGAATCCACACCTTTGAAGTATGCTATTAATAGCCTCCTTAAGTGGTCAATTGTGATCAATTAGACATGAAAGATAAACAATGCCTGAGAAAAATTTGTCTTTGCAGGAAAGATGTAAATCTAAGTTAGAGAATTTTACAATGCAGTTACGACTTCTAAGAATCTTAAAGGTATAAGGAGGACAGGGCATCTTTCTGTATTTTGTAGAATTTTCCTCCCATGTCTCTTGTGATGTGCTAGGAATTTCTTCCCAGATCTTTAACTTTGATCAAAGAATAAAAGACTGCTTTCTTTGATTTGCAAGCTTCTTTTTAAGTCTTTGTTTTGGTTCATTTTGGGCTTAAGTGTAGTGCAGACCTTACAAAACTAAATTATTAATGTATTTTAAATAGAAAACTATATTTAGATAGATTTGTACTCCAAAAGCATTTTATTTAAAAAATCTGATTTAAATTTTAAAAAAATTCATGATTCTGTGAGCAACACAATCTGCCTGTCTGCTTTGGAGTAAAAGTTGCTCTTTTTTTAATAACAAAATAAAGATTTACATACATTGTGTGTTGTGAGTTAATTTTGTGAATTTGCTTGCTAGCAAATTTTATGTGACAGACTGAGCTAGCCGATTGCAGATAGATCTCTAAATTAATCTGTGATTCCGTGAGCAACTCGATCTGCCTACCTGCTTTGCCTGCTTTTGGGTAAAAGTTGCTCTTTTTTAATAAAAAAAATCAATATTTACATCAATATTTATAATATTTACATACAAGCCATGCCCACCCAGTCACATGACCACCAAACCATACCCACAAATTAGGCCACACCCACAAAACCGGTTGTTAAGAAATTTGAATCCCACCCCTGGGCAAAACTCACTTAACAAGTTTCTCACTTAACCACATAAATTTTGGGCTCAATTGTGGACTATCTGTAACTGAAGACTGGAAAAGAGCTGATGGGGTTCCCATCTTCAAAAAAAAAGAGGGGGGAACAAATCCAGGAAATTACAGACAGATCAGCCTGATATTAATACCTGGTAACATCTTAGAAAACATATCCAGGCAACAAATCTATGAACATACTTTACCTTAACAATCTGAACTTCAAAGTTTGATTCTGAGGAAATGGACTGTTCTGTCTGAGTGGGAACGTATGGCTTTTCACCCTGCCCTCTGACACTTAGGTTGGCTTTGGGGACATTGAAAGGGTTTCTGACTCCTAACCATAAGACACCGAACCAACTCCATGTGGTCCAGAACCGATGTGGTTCGGTCCATCAATAAATGGACCTTCTTTTCAATTGGCCCCAGCCTCCATTTTGTCTCCAGTGCCTTTCTCCCGGCTTGGAACTGGACCTGGATGTTTCTTCCAACAGTTGCCTTTATTTAATGTTGCTTGATATCTTTAGCCCTGTGAGAGATTCAGAGGCTTTGGGATCATTGAGAGCATTTCCAACTCCTAAATATAATAAGATGAGACATAAAGATGGTGCACTAAAATGTGACATCAAGGAAAAAGGCAAAATGGATTAAATATATTTTTACTATTTTAAATTTTACAAATTTTGCACACATTTAAATTCGAAAGAAGTTGGACTTAAGACTCAGGCCAAGAGCCTCTTGGTTTCTCCACACACCTGGCCCGGTCCTGGTTGTTGGGTGTCCTTCATGTAATGAGAGCTACTAAAAAAAATATAACCTGTCTTTCTGAATGGTGTTATGGAAATAAATCTTGGAATTCCTTGGTGTCTTTCAATCTCAGAAAAATCAGGATCATTCATCTGCCTAGCTAAAATGTCACTTTCGCTGCTACAAATAATGTTCCTCCCTATATTTAAAGGATATATTTTTGGAAAAAATATTAAGGAGCCCTGAGGAACAAGTGAAAGAACAGGAAACGTGTTCTGTTTACAGATATTCAGTATTACAGAAACACTTTCCTTTATTTCTCTTTCTCAAAAGCTATTCAAGATTCTTACACAATGCTGTTTAAACATTATCTACTATACAATTATTTCCTCACATTTCCCCACCAAGGGGAAGGGGGGAACCACAAAATTATCTGTCCATTGATGCGGCTCTCAGGTCCCAGCTCTCAAAGGGCAACAAGGAGGCAACTCCAAGCAAACAAGATCACAGGAGGAATTACAAATAAAACCTAGAAATCCTGTTCTCAAAACCACAATCCCTTTTCTCCTCAACTCAATATTCCTACAGCTCTTCTCCATGAAGGCCACCTACAAGGCACAACAGCCTTTACATCTGAAATTTTAAACTGCTTTTGTCACTGCCCCAAACTTCCCCAATATATTTGCTATTCATATGGTTTCTTCTACTTGCGTGCCTCACTATTGACACAATGTGAACAGACATGCTTGATTTTCTGAATTCCTGGAACTGTTTGGAAAAGATGAACTTTGAAACGCTTCTGCTTCTCTTCTCCTCTCATTTTCTCCTTATATGAGGAGCCCCAATCTGCAACTATAGCCTTAGTGGTCCTATCCCAAGAGATGCTGGTTGGGGAATTCTGGGCCTGAAACTCTTGGGGTACCCAGGGAGAAAAAGGCAGGGACTCTGTATGTGGCATATTTATCATCCACCATTATAAAAATGCAATGAACATTAAAAAAAAAAGATTTTTGACAATTTCTGCAAAAATAAATACAGATAATCCCCAGGTTATGAGCGTTCTGTTAGCGAACGTTCAAGGTTATGTGATATGTGTCCCCTAGAATTTACAAACAAATCCTGAAATTATGAATATTGCAGCACCATGTCAGTTTCTTTGCCTGCATTTGCAGAGAACTGAGGCCCAACGTACTGCAAGATCACCCAAGACCAGCAGCACAAGATCTTGTGTAATCTCACACTTTAGGTCTCTAATCTCTGCAAATTGAGACCTGGACATCTGCAAACAGAGGGAAGGCTTTTGTCCTTTAGTCCTTCCTTCTGTTTGCCTATTCCTTGCCGAAGCCTGCAGGGAGATTCTGTTCCTGTAGGCTTCTGCAGCCCTTTACAAAAAGCTTTTGTTGGCACCAGCAGAGCTTGGGAAGAGCAGACGCGCTCCTCTGAAGCTCTGTTCCTATAGGCAAAGGCTTGCAAAGGGCTGCCAAAGCCTACAGGAACGCAATCCTCAAGCGCTTTCCTGACAAGAAAGTAGCCTCGAGAGACCGCGCGCAGTTTCTTGGTGTTGCTTTCTTGGCACTGGAGGCCTCATCAGGCTGATCTGGGGTGAGAAAGTAGCAAATGCAAGAGAGAAAGCAGGAAGTGATGTCGTTCAATGTATGAGATTCACTCCCACGCATTCTTAACTTACGGATGGAATGGGCAGGCTGCATTGCATTCGCAGCTCGGGGACTTTCTGTATCCACCAAATTCTGCTCCTGATGGCCAGTTAGGCATTATCAAACTACATGTTTTCCTACAAAAGTTAGGCAAATTCTTTGTAGCCAAATTAAACAATTTCTCAGCTGGACTTACAAAGGGACATTAGAAATGAAATTCAAACCTTCCCTACACTAATCACTTAGGGCCTTATGTGCATTTTCTTGTGTGTGATAATGGTGGAATGTTTCCTGAAGAACCATCCACACTCAGAACACTCAAATGGATTCTCACCTGTGTGTATAAGCATATGATTTAGAATTCTAGCTTTAATATTGAAAGCTTTCCCACAGTCTGGACACTTATATGGTTTTCTCTCCTGTGTGACTTCTCTGGTGTGACATCAGGCGGGAACGCAGACTGAAAGTTTGCCCACAATCACAACATTCAAAAGGCTTCTCGCCTGTGTGAGTCCTCTGGTGTCTCACCAGGCTGGAATGAAAACTGAAACTTTTCCCACAATCAGGACACTGAAAGGGTTTCTCTCCTGTGTGAGTTCTCTGATGTATCACCAGGCTGGAACTCCGACTAAAACATTTCTTGCAATCAGGACATTGAAAGGGCTTCTCTCCTGTATGAGTTCTTTGGTGTCTCACCAGACTGGAATTATCACAGAAACATTTTCCACAATCAGGACATTCAAAGGGTTTCTCTCCTGTGTGAGTCCTCTG